GGGATAGATCAAGCTGTGAGTGCATGCGCACGGTCCCAGGGCGGTTGGAAGACAACGGTTGCCCGTTGCACAGCCGAACAGAGGGTCAGGTTGTCTCTGTGCACCCACAACATGGAACAAGCCCACGTCCAAGTGGCCACACGCGGCCTCTGCTCTGGACCAGCCCACCGTGTGTTTGGTCGAAGGCTGGAACCACAGAAAGGATGTGCTATGAGAAACGTTCGGTCTAAGCAGCACGTGGAGCATTGAGCTTGGTTTCCAGTGGGGCGCGTGCTCGTTGAGAAGGCTGGGGCTTTCCCACTGTCCAATTCTGCTTAACTCGTGCAACTCGTCTCTAACTCTCTCTCTTGCTTTTCAGGGCCCAATATGCCTTTTTCGTACCCTCTGAGCTGACGCCATTTTAAAAGACTTGCAATATATGTTTCCTCCAAGCAAACTGGTTTTTATAAAATGTGAATTTGCAGTACAGTTGTCCGGAGGTAGATGTAGGCACAAGCTTCATAGACTGGAAACAAATGCCTCCCTATCTGTGTAGCTGGTTTTTGTGTTGTTTTATGTGCACACAGGCTGTAGTCGCAGCTTACGCAATGGGCTAATTATTATCGTAGAAATTGGGTAAATGTTTCACAGGAGTCGAGCTTGGGGCATCTGAGACCAGGCGGAGGGCTGAGTGCTAAAACCCTGCTGCAAATGTAACACTGGTTCCCCAAGCAGTAGCTTGTGGTTTAGGATGAGGTCAACAGCTTTAAACGAGCAGAGTATGTTGTTTCGCATCGCTCCCCTACCAGATGAGTCACAATTAAGCATTCATAAAAAAAAATATTTTTTTTTTTTGCAAAAATCTTGTTGGTCTAATAAAAGAGATCATCTCGACTATGAGTCCTGATTGCCTTTTCCTCTAGACCAATACGGCTACAACCTGGATACCTGACATAATTAAGCATCCATAGAGCCCATCCAGAAATATCGCCCAGTTTTTCATAGTGCAAATAAAGATGGGATGAATTACTGGCCGTATTGACATCCATTGAAGTCTTGCCAGTTTTTTTTTTTCCACGGGTCCAGGATTTCCCCAAGGTCTCTACCCTGAAGAAGGGCTTTGATGGCTGAAATTAGATTGCACTGATACAAAGGAAAGAAGAGTTTGGCCTCTTATAACGTGCCAAAGCAAGCAGTCTTATCCACATCGTGAGCTGCCTCCAAACCATCAGCAAAGCACAGCACTCCTTGACATGACGCCCTTGTGCTTCGAGCACTGCACTGACATTTGGGAGGTGGGAAGCCGGGTCGGAGGAGTCTCTCCAGTTCTCTTTGAAAAGCAGAGCCGTGTCTTTAAATGGAAAATATTTCATTGCTTATAACACTGGCAGCGGCTCCAACATTTCTTTTTCCTCTGAGAACGTCAACTCTATTCTCAGCTCAGATGAGACAGACCCACTTGTCTCTTTACTTTGCAGTCCTTATAGTTTCCAGTGAGCCCATTTCTATGGCAACACTGTCATGTTTCTCCATTATTTATTTTTTTTTATGCACAAATTGCTTTAAAAAGAGAACGGGGAAAAATGCAGATTGGGTGAACTCGATTCCAGAATAGGAGAGGTTTCCACTGCCTGATTTCAGAGGTGGTTCAGGGCAGGATCTGAAATTATTTCCTATGAAGACAGGTTATTTTCTACCTTCAATATTATTGGGGCAGGGGAGGGGGGAAGGGATGGGGGAACGCCCTTTTTGAAAATCTCCATTCAGCTCTTAGCACTTGGGAAGGACACGTCCACCCACATGGTCCCAATCAAGAGTTCAGTGTTAACAGGATGATCAGAGGCAAGAAATGACAACTGGAAAGCATCGGCACATGTTCCCTTGTGTCCACCGAAAACGCACGTCCCAGCACGGTGAATCATTTTTGCTTCCCTTGGCGTGTAAGGGGAGGGGGCAGACCAAAAGGCACGTGCATGCACGTGCACGCACGCAGGGTTGTTTTGTTTGGCTCGCTCACCAGATTTAAACACCAAGGGGAAAAATCTGTCCTGGCCAAACTAAAAGGCAAATTTTTCAGGGCTTATGGGGGAAAGGGGGAATTCTTTTCTTTCTGAGTTTTACGTTTTGTTTTCAGCCTGTTAAGCCCTTTGGAAATGAAAAAGGGAAATGTCTGGTTTTGATCTCGTCAAAACATTTGGCTTTTCGAAACGGGAAAACGTTATTCTGAAAAGGTGAAGGTGAAATGTCTTTCGCCCCTTCCTGTGCACAAATATATACTATGCCGGATTCAACCTAACATGCCAAACAGACGTTGCTTTGTGGGGAGAGAGTTTGAGGGGATGTGCATTTTTTCTGCAAATTATCTATTAAAAGCCAAGTTGGCCCAGCTCTGTTGGGCAGTTCCTTTCTCCCCTGTGCTTCCACTGCATTGTTTGAGGGCACGACCGGGGCATAACCAAAAGGACCCGTCCAGGAAGGGCATTCAAATGGAAACCACTCTGAGCTTGTGCCAAGTGGTTGATGTATTTCCCGAGACCGATGACCTTGTGCCCTGTGCTCTGCATCACCCTGGGTTTAGCAGCGGGCATTTGCAGGCAGTTGCATGCCGTTCCCTTTTGTACAGTCAGCAGGGGATTCTTGGGCTGCTTCGTGCTCGCTCATATAGGACATAAAATATTTTTCTTGGACCCAAATACAGCAGGTCTTGAGCCTGGTAAGATGCGCTTTCATCTGTGGCTGGGCATCTCTGCCAGAACGGGTGCTAGCTGGAAGTATAGTGCCCAAAGTGACCGTCTAGCCCCTAGAAAGTCCCTGGTCCTTTCCCTCCTGGCATGCGACTGCTCCCTTGATAGTGCTCACATGTGGTCGTCTTCATGGATGCTCTTGAGCACCAGGGCAATGGGAAGAGCCTGCTTTCCCTCTGCCCGTTGATCCTGCTGCTGTGGGCTGTAGAAATACCCAGCCCTCATCAGGCAAACACTTTCTAGCAATAAATTCAGGGGGTATTTTGGAAAGCAAAATCAGTGGCCGGAGGCAGACACTACGGTGGGGACAGCCAGCTGCCGTCCTTGCTCATGCCAGGGCTGTACACAGCCGTATGATTTGCTGGTATCTCTATCCAACCCCTCCGGGGTTCTCCAATATTTCAGCTTTCATATTTAAAATAAATGATGGGTCTTTGGCTGCTGAGGGTGCAAAGGAAACAACAAAAGGAGTTGTTTGTTCCCAGCAGAATAGCCACCGCCACCAACGTATGGACTGCCCTGTTGTTTTTCCCTGGAGGGTTAACTCTGGTTCCCAGCCAGGGAGATTTAAGTGTCACTATAGGACTGTTTCATCCTTCACATAGGAAAAAAGGGAGTCACAGCCTTGCAGTGAGTGTCTTCTCATTTTAGCTATCCAGATTGTAGCCAGATTGGTCTAGAGGCAAAAGGAAATCACTTCTGCCATAAGTTTTGATTTTTTTTTTTTTTCTCATTTTAGCAGCACGTGTGGGTGGGTCCCAGTTTGAGCGGAGGGTCATGACCTGGCCCTGTCCTGCTGTCTTAGTGGACACCAGCCTGGTGTGAGAAGCGAAGGTCCTGAGCCTCAAATGTGCATATACGTTGTCCGCCTTATTTTTGTTGGCAGTTGCTGCAAATGCACGTGCAGACAGCACGGCCGATGTTTGGCACGCAGTGATTTGATTTGCATGCTAAGCTGAGGTCGTGCCGACATCATTGCATGTACCATTTCAACACTCATTTTTTTTTAAAGACTCAGTCCCCAAGTGTCTGACTCGAGTCTTCAGGAGATCTGTTACCATTCTTGGGAATGGAAAGCACCGCTCCTGCCTCTTGCTGCTGCCGTTAACCACAAAACAAACCTTCCTGCCAGCGTTATGAAACACAGCTGTGATTCTCCGTCCCTGGAAAAGCTTGCACAGAAGCAGCCGGGCTTTCTAATGGGAGAGGAGAAACCTAGGAAAAGTGCTCCTGTACGCCAGCTGAACCGGGAGCACGACTCGAACTCGTGGCATCTTCCCGTGCACCCTTTGAACGTTTGCTAGGATTCAACAGTCAAGCTCCAAATTGGGGCTGATCAATATATGCTGTATGTAAAATAGCTGAGGATATAAGAGCTTGCTATTCCTCGTGAGATACAGTCATTAGCTGGAGTGCAGCACAAGCTGAGAGCGACTGCAAATTGCTTGCAACTTAACAGCTGTTTGATCTGTGAGTGAATTATTATTTGGCCTTCCCAGGCTCGTTCCTATTTGGAGGGATGTCCACATCGCAAAATTTTCCCGCCCGTTTGGCTCAAACAGACAGTCCCTGTAGCAAGGGGATAAATGAGACGAGTGGTAGAGATGGGGCCACTTGTATTCCTTTAAGAGTGATCCATCTGGGTCAAGGTTGGGAAGGGTCAGGGTAGGGGGTTGGTTGGTTTGCTGCTCTGCCCTGTTGAAAAGTAGGTGTTTGTCTTTTATTATAGTACTTATCATAGTACTTAGGGTCGGAAGGGGTCTAAACAAATCATCAGGTCCGACCCCCAATTTTCAGTCTGACTCTGAGCTACTGTCAAGCTAGTGCTGAAACCGAAATAAAGAGTCCGGATTATGCGCAGCTCCTTGGTAAGCAAGGGGAGTACATAGGTTTCATGCTCCCCTCTCTGCCAATCCATGGGGATATGAACTGGTATAGGTCCCTCACACTAAATTTTAGCTCCGACTATAACTGTTCATGCTTCTTTTCTCCGCAGGTCACAGGTTCAGTTCCTGGAAAGATGGACCTGGTCACTGGTTCAGTTCAGGCAGAATAGCAGGCATCACCCAAGGGTTGCCCAACCACTTTGCACCATCGCCTTCTCATAATAGCACTTTCCCTCACTTTGGAGAGCCCAAATTGCATGCTCCCACTGCAAAATGACAGCTCTCCCTCCCCTGGAGAGCCCCAGCCCTGAGTCCTGTACTGGATCAAGGTAGAGAAACCTGCTTTTTACTATTTTAGCATGGTCTGAGTCAACCTCTCTTTCTCCTTCAGGTCCAGCCGGCTGGGAACATGGCTACGAGCGCCGTTCCAAGTGATAACCTCCCTACATACAAGCTAGTGGTGGTCGGAGATGGTGGCGTGGGAAAGAGCGCTCTCACCATTCAGTTTTTCCAGAAGATTTTTGTGCCAGACTATGATCCAACCATTGAGGATTCCTACCTGAAACACACGGAAATAGATGGGCAGTGGGCTATTCTGGACGGTGAGCAAACTACTTCCACTCTGATTGATCGTTCTTCCGTTGTTCAGGAGGAATCCAAGGGCAGCTCTGTCCTGAGACTTTCCGTATCTTGTTGTGCTTTTATGGATTTTCGGCTTTACTGTCACTTATGTGTGGTTTTGGCACAAATCATCGTATGCACTGTTTGTGCACGCTAAGCAATAGGCCTCTTGTCAAGTTGAAACTGTGGCTTGCATTGTGCCACAATAATCTACTGTATCAATGGCTCATTGTCCAGCTGGAAGGATGCATCGAGTGGGGTTCCTCAGGGGTCTGTCTAGAGTCTGCTCCTAGTTAATATTTTTATTAATGACTAGAGAGAGAGAGAGCAAGGTCCGCTTCTTACGTTTGCAGATCATCCTATGCTGAGTGAGACTGCACGCTCTTTGGAGGACAGGATTCAAATGTAAAGCCATCTTGATAAATTGGAGGAGTTGTCTGAAATAAGTAGGATGGAGTTTGCAGGAGGGAGTTCAGTAAGGAAAAGTGCAAAGGGAGTGCGCTTAGGTGACAGCTGTCGACTGGATAGAAACAAGAACGGGGCAGGTAGGAGCGCTGCAAAAAAAAAGGATCTGGGTTATAGTGGATGACAAACTGATCCC